CAAAGAAAGTCTTAGTAGAGAAGGGACTAGGGATGGTGAGCATCAGCCCTTACTATGATATGTATCAGTTACCATGTGGTGATAACTTTTTTAGAGTTGTGTCTTGCCAAAATAGTTCATTTGTTTGTTACCTGTACGTAAATGGGTCTTAACTGTAATGGCAGCACTTTCTCAAGAATTTTAGGGCTTATTTCCTTATATTATGCTTCAATATCTGGTTAGCTTATGAGTATTTTCTTGTACACTAAGTACTCCAGCAATACTAAGAAGAATTGCAAACCAAATGTGAGAAAGCCAACTTAGAGGAGAATCTTTGTTTACAATATTTGCCTCATTACCATAAGCGATACAGTTTCTGATGGAGCTACAAAGAGAATAATACTGAATATTGAAAGGGCACAGCACGATTAACTGTCCCAAGGAATTTGAGCGCGATGTATTGAATACTTTTTGTGCGACGAGGTTTAAAAGCTCAAAATTTTACAAAGAATGTATGAGCTCATTAGCGCTTTTGCCACACAGAAATTTTGATGTTTCTGAAAGCCAATTTCTCCTCGAATATTACACCCAAAGAGCCAAAAATTTCACCACTTACTAAGTTTCACAAGCTCTTTAAGTTTTTCTAGTAAAATCGTGTCTAGCATGATGCCTTCTACGCACAAAGTCGTATGTTAATGAGGAAAAATGTAAACAATCACGTAAGCAAAGATTCGCCTATAGTTTTGGCTATTATTTTTCAAAACACAACTTCTTCGAACCTAGATAAATTAGCCAGTTTCTAATTTTTAATTCCTTTTCATCCCTGCTATGAAGGCTTAAAATGTAGCACTGGGAGTGTTTAGTAGATAGAGTTTCAAAATCTTAAGGAAGAAGTGATTGTGCACTACCACTTTAATGCATAGCTTAATATCCTTGTGTATCCATTAAACTAGTCAACAACCCATTGTTCCCACTAGAACAACATAATTTTGTTTTTAAAATTGATATAAATAAAATTCTCAACTTACCGGTAGTTTGGGAGGTTCTGTGGTATATTATAGGTGAAGGTATAGATGTATGGCAGTGATACAAGCAATGTCATATGTAGCTACTTAAGCATTTGTCGCAGTGCACATATTTTTTCTATTCTTTGTTGTGACTCTTATTTAAAACCCCAAAAGCTGTGAACAAGACAGCTTGTGGGAAGTTGAGCTTTCTGTGTCAGCAAATAACAACCTTATCTTTTGAAGTGCCCTTTACAAAGTAACCAACAGCACTTCAATGACAAAACTGGTAAACCATACATGTAAAATTGCCCCTACTGTATTCTACATGTATACTTACAGCCTTCAAAGCACTCACTTTCTTTCCTGCAATGGTTTGGGGCACAGCAAACATAAATGAATTAAGAGAGGTGGAGGAGTCGAGGAGGCAGAGTAAAGAAAACTTTTGGATGCCGCAAAGCTCTTAGAATGAGCTTGACGGCT